TGGGGGGAAGGGGCTCCCTCCAGCAGGGCTGGGGGTGCAGCTATGGCTTGGGAGTGAAGGGCACCAGTAGGGCCAGGGGGCTGCAAGTCGCAAATGAGGAACATCAGCAATTTGCATTGTGCAAACTGCACGATGATGAATGTCACTTGGGAGTAATTGTGGGTCACATGTTGGTATTTCTGTTAATGTTTTCCTATCAATGCTGATTTCTGTCTTCAAAATTCAGACTGATGAGCTGCTTTAACATGTAATGTGTAATAAGTATTTTGGGGGCAAAATACTTGTGTGTTTTCTACTTAAGCTATTTACTGGATCGGAACTGGCAACAATGTTTACAAACGGGTCCTGGTACAAAAGAGGTTGGGAGCTGCTGGACTAGATGACCTCCTGAGGTCCCTTTCAACCACTGGCAACACATAGGGGGTGCGCATACATGCCCCGAGATTGGCCATGCACTCCTTGAGAGAAGCGCCCGTGGCACTTCTGGGTTACCTCCAGCACTTCCACCGATGGCAGTGATTGGCCGTCGGGGGACACCCCCCAGTTGACAATCAGGTGCCGGGGGACCCCGCAGTTTTAGGAGGCACCAGTCACCCATGCTTCCAACCCTAATTTCCTATGATTCTAATAGTCAAATCAATTAAGATGTCACTGTAATAACATGAGAAGATTAACTCCCTTTAAAATATTTTACTGACTGCAGATTAGATAGTCTAATGGTGATGGGCACATTAAAAATGCACAAGTTAGAGACAACAAACACAGGCCATACTGTCAGCAACTATTTCCTTTGTGTACCAAAGCTGCCACTTACAGATCCTTCTGAGCAGCTCACCACGTGCTTAAACTCTTTGTTGTACTTGCAGCACAGAACTGGCTCCTTATGAGAAACGACCAAATGGGGCTCTGGAGGAGGCCTGTTTTATGGAAAAACAAACTAAATAGCCTATGCTCCATTGTCACAGTCACTGTGTATCAATAGCTGACAACTGGTCTATACTAATGCAATAGAGCTCATACAGTAGGAATTAACTTCATGAGTACTATGGAAAGCACAATAGCATTAAATATTTCTATTCTATTATGCTTGAGTAAATATAACATGTACATGATTATATATAATATTGCATTCTATTCAGGGTGGATTTGATTGGTCAGGAAGCTTCAATTTAAGCATTGTTTTCTACAAAAAAGTGCATTTGTGTCGTTTTATATCCTTTATTCATTTAACGTCTTGAAAATTTGCACTTTTAAAGAAGGCAAGGGCTTGATTGTGTGCACAAACTTGTAGAGAGACAACAGGGCTCATGGGTGGATAATCAAGTCCATTATCTCTCCTCTCCATATACTGCTGTTTAATAAGGATGTTATCTCTGGAGACAACAAACTCTACCTATGCCTGAAGAAGGGAGTTTGTGCCCCAAAGCTTGGAAAGTACAATTTTTCTAACTATTTAATTGGTCTAATAAAAGATATCACATCTACCCAAATAATCTTGTCTGCCTATGATCTCTGGAGACAAATCCACAGTTTGAGAACTGAAACTAAGCATCACAGAGATGCTTAATGGGATCTTCCAGACTGAGCCCTGAGTCCCATTGGGTAGAGTGGCTTTCTTTAATCTTTACTAATCTATAGAAGAACCTCTGGGAACTCCATAAGATTGGGCCCCTAACATAATCCATGATCTGCTGTGATTTATTTTTAACATTTCTAAAAAGGTTACATGAATATATTGTCTCAAACAGCATATAATTAGAAGTTATAATCCCTATTCCATGATGACATCTTTAAACTTTAACATATCTTAAATTAAAACTACCTTTATATAAGTTTTTTAAAAGCATCTTAACAAAGGATATGATTACATTAAAAATCATTGATTTTTATCCACCCTGATTCTATCCTATATTCTATGTTATTAATTGTTTCTAATTTCTCCATGCTAGCCAAAGGAGCCAACGTAATGCCACAAGTGTCACTTACAGGCAGTAGAAGCAGGGGGAAGATGAAGAAGGCTTTTGTCTTCACATTCAGCACTGCCCCAGCTAGGCCAATTCAAGTGAATTTGAACCAGCCATGCAACCACAGTTGTCATTGATCCTCTAGGCTAGGAGCAAGTCTTAATATATAGGTAGGAGGGGAAAGGACCAAGAGTTCTGCACCAGCCTATTCCCACAAAGGGCAAACTTCTCCAATTGTCTTTCAATGCTCTAGAGTCTAGACACATACCCAACCCACCCACACTCCAAACTGCTGCTAAATGAGCTCAAAAGCCTTCCAACCAACGTAGGCTTGTGCTTCTACCTTAATCGCAGATGAAAAAGAGCGAGTGTATCCGTGGCGACATAAAGCGATCCGGTGCCTGGTATGTAGTGGCAGGCAGTGAGCTCCCCTTTAATTCCACTGCTTTTTGAGCAAGCTGTAAACAAGCAGCTGTGGTCCTCGATGTCCCAGATCTACAAAGAGAGATGCAACACAAACTGAAGGAAAAAAAAAGGAATAAGGCCATATTCTAATCTTAGTTGAGGATTAGGTGGCTGTAGAAGTGCTCTGCTGTGCTTCCCTTCCCATCCAAGTGGTACATGGCGCATTGGAATTTAGAACCCGAGTTCTGCCACATTCCTGCCGTATCAGGGCCTATTGGCATTTGGGCCCAAAAGGAAGCAAATAACTTACTTACTCAGGAAGTGTTGCAATTACATCTGAGGCTTTAAAAGGAAAGGACTTGAGCTGGGTTATTAAAAGATGTTAGCAATGGCCACATTAGAAAAATATACAATGGACAGAAGGAGGAATTCTGCTCTGGTATACAAAACATTTTTTCCACAAGCTTCAAAGGACCTACTCCCAATTTACAAAGAAGGCAATGGAGATAAGATTTTTTTTTTAAATTTCAATCACCACATTACCACAAACCCAGTCTGTACTGCAAGCTTAGCCATGGTGGATTCCTACATTTGGACTATCTGACGAGTGTGGTGCAGCAGTTTAAGTCACAAATGAGCTGGACCCATACATGATTTATGCAATGCCTCACTAGAGATAGCTCTACTAGTGCAGCTCTGCTTGAGTTTTAGCTACCAGCAGAGATGAGGCAGAAGAAAGCACAATATTCATGACAGCGTGAAACCACTGATGTAAATCTTAGCAAAGATGGGTCAGCTGTTTTCCTGGAATTCAAACCAATCTCCATATAATTAACTGGGTCAGGGTGTTTCTGATAGAGCCATAAAAAGCTACTTGGCTACTAAGTACTCTGAGTAAATATTTATAATATAGTGCATGGATTATTAATCAAACTGATTATCAGACTGATCAAACTGTCAACATTTAATTACAGCATATTTAGGAATTGTATCAATATAAAATCTATGTAATATAATAATGTAATTAGTATATAATAATATATAATGTAACTTATGGGCAAATATTAACATGCTATGATAGAAAAGTATAGGGAATAATATTTCATATACATATTAAAAATATTGGGAATAATATTTATATAACACTATAAAAAAGTATAGGGACTAATATTTCATGTAAATATTCAAAACTAAGAGGACTCCCCAATAATTAGATTTGATAAGTGGAAAATATATACGTTTGTTATAACTTTCCATGTATAGATATAATTATTAGAGGATCATCTTAAATTCATCCTCCTTCTCCCCACCACTGCTGCAGGCAGGAACAGAGGTAGTGGAGGGGCAGGCAGCAGCTGTGGCTCCAGCCCTAACTTTGGGTCAGGGCTGAAGCCACAGCAGCCCCCCCACTCCCATGTTAAACAAGGAAAAAGCTTCATCTTGGGATAAGTAAATGCAGTACATGTGATTTACATACAAATTATATGTGTATATTATTTCCCTATTATTACAGCATAGGTAATAGCATTTCTATACTACAGATTAGTGCAGTAGTATTTACTAGGTAGCTTGATATTAATTTCATCATTATATATAACATTTATTAAGAAATGTATCATTACAACATAATTCACTTTTGACTGATCTGGTGATCAGACTTTGGAGGAGGCTATGAAGAGATATGGTGACATCTCCATCCCTGGAAATTTTCAGTAGTAGTTGTACAAACATTTGGCTGGGATTTTTTTTTTCAGGAATTATCCTACCATAAGGTCCTTCCCACCCCTACTTTCCTATGGTCCTATGATTATCAGTTTGATCAATCACCCTGCCATTGTACCACTGACATTAAGAGATGGGAGCTTTGTGCAGAGGGCTGCTTTGGCATCCTGGACTGATATTTATCCTTCCCCCTCTAGACAAGCTATCTTTCTTGCTGCTGCTTTCCAGTCCAGTACTGGCTACATTTCACTCTCAGAAGGTACCAACTACCTATTTCAGGTCTCTGTAATATACTCACCACTGTGGCATCCAGTCATATGACATCAACGGGAGTTAACAGTGCTCAGCATCTGGCACAAGCAGATGTGCAGAGCTGACCTATTGCCCACCCCCACTTCCCTGAGGTCATTGAGAGTCTGCCTAATGACTTCAGAGGCTGCTGAATCTGACACACAGTTTGTCAAAGGGCTCCAAGATGAATGGTGCTGTGTAGAAACTGACTACTGTTATGCTCATGTATGAGCTAATTCCTCATTAGTGGATATCTACTAACGTCAGTGGACACAGCAGACTCCATTTAGCCTCATAACTAAGAAAAGGCTATGCATTTTACCCAGAGCATGTATTTATCAGAATTTAATGGGAACAATTAATCTCATCATGTACACACTGCTGTGGTACTAGCAGCCCTAAAACTGTTTGGCGCCCTTCACTTTTCAAGGTTTTTGTTTTTTGTTGTTTTTTGTGTGTGGGGGGGGTTATATTGCAACTGTTGTGCCTGCTATTAAAACAAGCAAACAAACACACAAAAATAAAACTATGGGAGAGTAGCTGTGAAACCAATGAGTTCCTATCATTTTTAAGGCTTTCAATGATAACCTTTGACAGCAGCTCTCTTCACAGTTTCTGGACTGGTAATGGAGAGTTCAATTGGTTATAAACTAGAGAGCACCAGAATTTATTACAATGTAAGCAATACACAACAAAATTGGGCCTGCATTGTATGTTGAAGTTCAGCAAATTAAGTACTTATCTGGTATGCATGTAAGTTGAGTATACTGTGCACCACAGATTAGCTTGGCCTAACATTTAAGGACAAGACATATTAAACATTGACATAAGGAAACAAATTAATCCTTGCATCATGTTTGTTCAATATTAGGCACAATGAACAACAGTTAAATCAAATAGGTAACAGTACATAGATACATGTTTGACACCAGATACCAACTTGGAGAAATATGGTGGAATCCTCTGTCAAGAAACAGGATGAACATAAAATCGCCAGAGCTTCAAAGCTATGAAGTATAGATTGAAATGTAGGGTTTTAAAGAAAGTTAATTTGCAGTGAAATAAGTCATTAAATTAATAATACTAGAATGCTTACTAATACAGCAGTCAGAAATCCAACCTTAGACTGGAAGCCTTAAATTTGAATAAATGTAAAAAGAGAAAATTACAATAATTATAATCAGGCAAGTAGGGAAGCTAACCTCCCCTTTCATTAAAGTTACTTAGCACTCCTTCTGATAAGAGGTTGTTTTCCATTGCTTACAACTTTACCAAACTAACTGTTTGGCCTTACATGAAGTAAAAAAAAATAATAATAATAATAATAATAATAATAATAAAAAAATCTTAATAAGATCTCAGCTAACACTGTAAAGCCATTTCTGAGAGTGAGTTTTGGAAAAAAACCCACTGCTTTTGCCCTTTAAAAAAATGCTATGGCCTTTTCATTGAAGAGACTCTTACTGCTTCAGGATTTGGAGCACAGACATGAATGTGGTAAGGGAGAAACTGTGTGTCAAGGATGTGTCTTTTGTCATGAAAATCCACCCAAATGTAGTGTCTTTATAAACCTCAAAACATAGCAAAAACAACTCAAACACCTGCTCAGTAGCGTCTTCTTTTCAGTCCCCTGAAAAATCAGCCCACAACCAGGCACATCTCATGGGGGCACTGAGCAGGATTTCCCTGCAATTGCAGTTCTAGACTCTTGTAGCTGTGATTGGACATCTGAACTGGGAGCAAAGAGCTTGTCTGTCCTGTGCTGTCAAGTAATACAGTCCCAGCAACAAGGGTGGAAGAAGGGGAGCAGGGAAGACAGGGAGTGAAAGTTGTTCAATTCGATTGTGAAAGGGGTAAGAGACAGACTTGTATGGCCTGCATATTGGAACATCAGTTGTAGTGGAGATGATTTGAGGCACAGACAGAAGTTCAGCTCCCTGGTCTAATTCATGGAGCTTTGCAGAAAGTGCTATGAATCAGACCAATCTTTCTGACCCAACAGACATTAGCTGTTGGGTCAGGAGAGTAGAGGAAATCGAGCTCCAATTTGAAGCCGATCCAGCAAGAGAGGTTACATGTTGACAGCCTCTTCCCCTCACCCTGCCCTCCCCTCCCACTGGTCTGAAGCTGTCTGAGGATGGGAGGATGACAGCACAGGAGGCAGGGCTGGGCTGAAGCAAGTCCAGTTGCCAGAGCAGACACGTAAATGACTAGAACTAAAAAATAGTGAGGCAGGGGAAAGGGAGGGGAGGGTAAAAGGGAAACCAATCTGATGGGGAGGGAGGAATTGAAAGAGTCTGAAGGAATTAGACTAGGAATTTGCAACCTTAATAAAAGGTCTTTTAATAAGTTGCCTATGCATAATTTACATTACACACACACTTGAAGGTAGGAACATTTTGGCAAATGAAGGGAACCTCCCACCCACCTCCAAGAATACCTACCTTAGGGCAGAACGCTAATGTCTGTTCTGTGTTACAAAATCATTTTTGAAGTACACCTACACTTTCAAAGCAGTAGATCTCTGTTAAAAGCTTTGGTATCATGTACCAAAATGTTTAAGAATGAAGGGGTTTGTTGCACTGAAAAGCTGACAGAACTTTTGGCTTACAGAAGCAGCAGCTAGAATTAGACTCTCTACATTCATCAGACAGTCAGATCCAAATCTCATGAAGTCAGTGAGAGGTTATTGACTTCAATTACAGCTGATCAGGTTCTATTTTTATACACACACACACACACACACACACACACACACACACTGCATTCACCTTGTTTAGCTTCATTGTTATAGAACATATTGAGAGATCTTATTTCCCCATAAAGAAAGAGAGATTGAAGGCAAGATATTGGACAGATGCTGCCCAGACAAAGACCTTAAGAGTGTTGTCTGTGGACATGGAAAATATTCTGGCATCTTCTTCAGATACATAGAGGTAAAAGATTGGTGCCATGTGGCTTCTGAGCATTCCTGTTGGTCGTCTGAAATTTAAATAAAAACAGGTCAAGATTTAGCAGTTTCAAACTAATGATTTATAAAACAAAATAAAAGTAAATGGGCCAGAATCTATAATACTTGTTTGTTTGGAAGAAGTGGTATTTTGTGTTTTGTTATGAAGACCTACATATTGGAGGGGGAATTTATTAATATAAGCCATGTGGAATGATAGCACCCAAGTTCAACTTTTCATGCCAACTAATTTAGTCTCACTTTTGGTTCCCCTTTCTGCATCCATCTTATGTTTCATCTTTCATACTTAAATTGTAAACTCTTTCGGCACATCCACACATGTAGGCACATGCGCTTGTAGCAGCTCAAATAGAAGCAGTACAAATTTTAGCTGGGGCTTTTTGCCTCAGTGCATGTACTTGAACACGCACTTTGTTGTGAAGCAAATTGTGCCACTTGGGGCAAAATAAGCTTGCCTGGCTCCTCCCAGATCTGCAGCCAGGGGAAGCTAGAGCCTGGGGCCAGCACCTGTGCTGTCCCAGCAGTATAAAAAGCTGCCCCATCCTGGTCCCATCAGTACAAAAAGCCACCTTGGCAAGTAGCTCAGGGCTACTTGCTCTTGGGAGCTTCTGGGCCCGGCCAGTTGGTACCTGGGGACACCACCCCTTGTTGCAGCTGGACTGCTGAAGGAGCCCTGAAAGTTCCCTGCACCCTCTATCCACTGCAGCAGTCTGGCAGTGGGGGCTGCTGCCTGGCTGTGACCTGCTGCGCACCTGCCAGACTCGGACAGGGACTGCAGAGCCAATAGAGGCATCTGCCCTTCTGGGCCAGCTGCCAGTGGGCTGTGGCTGCAGGGTTGGCCTTTGACACTACTGCCATGTGTCCCCTGCCCAGCCATCTGGGCAGCTATTTCCCGGAAGATGTTTCCAGTGTGGTGGCCTGCTTTGAACTGTCAAAGCATGTCCTCCTGGCCTCAGTTGGCTAGGAGGTCAGCCACCTCCAGCTGGGTCCAAGGTGCCACCTCTGAGCAGGCAGGGTCCTGCCACTGGCCTCCCTAGCAGGAATTCTGGTGTTCCCTACTGGAAAACTGAAAAATCCCTGATAAAAAAAATGCCTAAGTCACTCTGTAAAATACCCTGAAATCCATCCTCCTCCATGATTAAAACAAAGATCACTATATTATATACACAGAAAGACAGACCACTTGGGCATGTTTTATTGATATATCTACTATGTTAAAGCAATTTGGACAACTAACAGTGTCTCTATCATCATAAAACATATAGGTATTTAGAATTAATTTTATTATAGCCCCCCCACAAGGGGCCAAATGGCCCCAGCAGGGGATACAACCCCTCCCTGCAGGGCCTACATGCCCCAGCCCAGCTGCGCAATTGCTGCCACGCCTGGCCCCATCCACTGCCAGCTCCTGCAGCCCTCCCCTCCCCACCCCATGGCAGCACAGGGCAGCAGGGCCCAGGCTGGTGCCACTGGGGCTGTCCCCCTGCCCCGCGCTGTGCAGGCGGGGCCCCCATGACCCTGACAGCAGCTAGAAGTGAGGTGAGTGCTGGGTGGGGTGAGGTTTGTTTTCATTCATTTTTTTGTTTTTGTTTTTTTTAATTGTGGGGATGCTGGGGTGTGGCCAAGCGGGGAAGGGATATGGAGACTGGGGGAACAGGTGGGGCCGGCAGGGGTCCCCTCCCCCCTCCTCCAGCCCCCCCAACCCCTTACTTACCAGCACTGGAAACCTGCTGCTGGCACACTGCCTGTCCTGCATGGGCAGGCAGGGTGCTTCAGCACCAGGGTGAGGGCCAACCAAAGAGATGCTCTGGGAGCCAGAACGTCTCTGTGGAGGACCCAGCCTCCAGTTGCCCTGCTTTTTGAGTCTTTTTTTTGATCCCTGGATATCCAGGGGTCTAATTTTGCGCACCCCCCCACTGCAAACTTGTAGCGGGGGGAACCTTTTCCCATTCCCGCACATGCAGGCTCATCTGGATGCATCCTTTGGGGGCAAAGACTGTTTTTTGTTGTTCTGGGTCTGTATAGCACTTCACACATTGGCAACTTGGTTCTTCAATGGGGATCCTCAAAAACTGATAACAATGATTATTTGTAATGCAGCAAAATGGACTTCCAGGACCTGCCCAGATAGTGACCTTCAGAGAACTTTGCAGGTTTGAGAACTTAGGAGACAAGCAAAACTTCAACCCAATTTTACATACAAACAGTTCTTATTAGCTCATGACGGCTTATAAACATTCCAACTTACAGAACCGCTGTTACTGCACCAGTTATGTGCAACTTCCATTAACTAAAATAAGACCATAATAACTGCCATTTACTAGGTCAGCCCATAGCACCGTCTTGCCCAGCATCCTGTCACACAGGGGCAGAGAGTGGGTACTGAGAAGGAGAGTGAACAGGGCATGACCAAGGGTTTTTTCCACTCTTCCTCTTTCACTTGCAGTCTCTAGCATTGAAAAATCTAGGCAGTTCCGACTCAGAAGCTGTAGCCCTAATTCCCATGATCAATAGCTACTGAAGCCCTTTTCCTTCAAGAATTTGTCCAATCCTTTTTTGAATCTGGTTAAACTGTCAACTTCACAACCATCTGGCAATGAGTTCCACACTTTCATGGTAAGTTTAAAATTAACAAAAGGAAGCTCTCTTTCACACTGCTTCCTTTTGTTAATTTTAAACTTATTACCTACTAATTTCATTTTGTGACCCCTAGTTTTTGTACTGTGTGGAGATACCAATTAATAAATCCCTATTTACTTTCTCTTCACCGTTTAGTGTTTTGTAAGCCCTTGCCATATCCCGCCTCAAGCATTTCTCTTCTAAACTGAATAGGCATAGCCCAGGGCAGGCAATTATTTGGGCCCATAGCCACATAGGCAGTTCTAGGGAGCTGCCACGGCCCAGTCAGCAACCCCCTCTCCCCAACAGCTTGGAGCCCATGCACCCTGCAGCTCCTCAACAGTGCACAGCCCCAACCCTGCACCATTCTGCCTTTCTAGGCAGCCCAGGAGGTGGCAGTGGCTATTTCTGGCTGCCACCACCACTGGCCCCAGCCCCGTGGTATTGGTGGTGACCCACATGCACAGTTCTGACCTCGGCCCACCCCATGCCTGCTGCAAACTCAGCCTGACAGAGTAGACCAGCTCTGGACCAGCCAGAACCAGCATACACAGCCCCAACCCATGCCTACTCTGGACTCACCTGCCCACGCTGAACAGTGGCAGCAGCAGCCAGGCAGAAGCTGCTGCTGGGCCAAGCACAAAAGTGTGGAGCTGCCCCAGCCCCATGGTGTGCCCAAGGGGCAGCAGGATGCACCATGGGCTAGATAATACCTGGGCCAGGCAGAACCAAGGGACCCGCTGTGGGCTAGAAAAAGTCCTTCCGCGCAGTGGGTCTGGCCCACAGGCCGTATTTTACCCACCCCTGTATTAATGTGCATATTTTTCTTAAGAGTAAGGGAAACTTATTTCTGTGTGCATGCATTAGTGCTCACACATGCTGGTACTATACATTGTGCAACAAAACCATTTCTACCAGTTCAAACCTATTCTGAGGACATTTATGATTTTCTTCTCCATATACTTGCTTAGCTGATTCTTACCATCAAGAGCTGCTTGTCATTAAGGTGTGCTTCCTTTGCAACAAGTATGCTCGAACACACTCTAACCTGGGCATGTAAGGATTCCATAGCCGGATAATCCGATCCATGCCTCCGGTCACTAGAAGGTTGTATTTTTTGCAGAATGCAAATGTTTTCACTCCCTTGTAGATGCGGAATACTGTCTGATCACCTTCAGCTCTCCTTGTAGGGACACTGGGGATCATCCGTCCTTTTTTCCCCCTTGATTCTTTTGCAGAATCTTTTATTTCTTTCATCTGCTGTTCAACATTGGTTGCCCCTACAATACACCCTAAAAATAAAAGGATAAACTCACTTAGAGCTGGTTGAAGTTGTCACAGCCAATGCAGTTCCTGCCATCTCGCAAATATCAGGCACTATCAATTCTCAGTTCCAGGAAATTTCTCCCAACAGTCATTTCACATTTGTTGTCATGCTGTTGCTCCCTTTTAGCATTACTTCAGCTGCCTCTGCGGGGGAACCTTCAGATCCTTGTAAAACCATGTTTCCCATTTGCCAAACACAGAGATAAGCCAATTCCTTCCAGCCCCTGAACTATTTTGCTGACCTATTCTGAAATTTCTCCAATCTGTTAACTTCTTTCTGGCCAAGGAAGCCAGAACTGAACTCAGTGTTTCAAGCTCTATGCTGCTTGTACCATGCCACAACATTTCAGAGGGGCACAGTGTCTGTGCCAGTGCTTAAACACATGGAACATGAAAATGCACCAGGGATGAGAGGGAAGAGATACACGCAGGGGTGAAACCAGGATTTGACAGACATGAGTGCAGCAACAGCCACCCTCCCAGCCACCTCCTCCCCATGCACCCGAGTGGGAAAACTGCAACACTGGAGCCTCTGGAGACTTTTTAAACTCCCCAAAGCAGGTAATAAACCCCCACTTTCATTCTCAGAGGCACATCCCTTTCCCTCCCCCGAACCTCTGCCTACTGCTACTACTTTTTCTGCTGTCCCAGGCCTAGGAAGTTTCAAAGCCCTTCATGCCCATTCCAGCTGAGCTACAAAGGGGCTGGGCTCAGCTGGAACAGGGACAGTGGTAGCAGTGGAGATGGGCAGGGGTGCATTTCTCCACCCTGCCCAGTCCCCCTCAGGAGCAAACACAGGAAGGGGGAACTGCTTGCCCATTGCTTCTGCTGCTGTCACTGTTCCCAGCTGAGCCCACGATGTACAGCCTGGCTGGAACAGGCGGGAATGGTTTTGAAGCTTCCCTGTCCCCAGAACAGCAGGAAAAGCAGTAGCAGTAGGTGGAGGAGGGGGAAGGGAAGGAGAGGGGGCCTGCCTGTAAACACTTCCAAGGGAAGTGGTGCTGGCCCCTACCCTGGGGTCTTTAAGAAGAGGCTGGATGCCTACCTGGCTGGACTCATTTGAGTCCCATTTTTGTTTTGGGGTTTTGTTGTTCTCCCGCCCTGGCGGGGGGGTCGGGCTAGAAGATCTACTAGGTCCCTTCCGACCCTAAATCTATGAAACTATGAAGGAGAAGGGATTATCTGCTTTGGAAACTTTTTTTTTTAAAGCCTCCAGGGCTCCCGGGGTGTGATCTACTCCAAAAAGGAGGGAGGAGGGGATGCAGTCATCCCACTGCACCCCCTCTGGATCTGCCTGTGGATACAAATATAAAGAGGAAAGATACAAGAAGGTATAAGTGCAAAGCAAGCAACTCTGAGGCCGCATTACTATTGTTTTTACAATACTACTTTCAAGGTTTATTCCCAACAGGAGTCAGAAGAACAGAAAATAGAATTGCCCGTGCCAGAGGGCAAAGGTGGCCAGAAATGCAAAAACAATGGTGTTCTAGTCCTCCTTTCCTCTCCAATATCTAAACTGAAAGAGGCTCTAGAAAATGTAAAGAGTTGCATTTAAATGGAAAGGGAATGTGTTGCTGCAGAGAGCATTCTGCCATTGGTAGGTTCAGATTAATGATCCATTATTTTTTCACCTCAAGCTCTGTACATGGCCCATCTGTGATCTACTCAGAAAATAAGTTCTTGATGAGGATTAAAAGAAATGGGTGTGGATGGCTATAGCAAAAGCAAAGAGAACTTCTCTGGTCACTGTGCCAGCATCACCTATTCTTGATTATGTGCATCTATAGTCCCATGTCATAAAACTGCCAGTACCATGATGGTGCAAGTATTAGACAAAGAATGTGTTTGGGCTGAAAAAATAACCTTTTTGACATTTACTGATTGCAATGTTCTACCCCATTTTCTTCTCTTAAAAAACAGATAACAACATTTCTCTAACAGCAATGGTAGGTAGTAGATAATACTTGTACTTTCTATTGAGACTATTGATGGAAGCTACTATTAAAATGTGGCACTTACAGCACAATTATAAATTAGGCTGGGAAAAAAAATTTAACTGAAACAAAAATTCACCATAAACAGTATGAAATCTCCCTGAAATGCACCAAATCAGTTCTTAGTGTCATCTGCTTGTCCTCCAGCTCTTGAGTACATGAAATCTAGATAAGCCGAGAAGGACAAATGCTCAAGTCAGGCAGGGGTTGCTTCAGCACTGCTCACGTGGCTAGAGAATTAAGATACTTGGTTAAGAAACTGAAGTAAAAGGGATTTTCATTACAAGTGAGTTCTGGGGCACTGGGCAACAGTACTGGGTATTTCAAGATGAAAAATTTAGGGACATTTTGCATCAAAGTAATTTCTACTATTTCTAGGGGTCTATAAAAAAAGTATAACATATGGGGTTAAAACCATTACCATAGAAACTTGGAGGGATTTTTATAGTTGCTTATTGAACTAACAGAGGTTCAGATTGATAAGATGGTTATGTTTAAACAGTTACTATGGAAACCAAATGTGAACTAGAGGAGGTATGAGCACCCACCACTTTCATTGACAGATAATGATCTATGCTGCAGTAGGGAGGGCCCAATTTAGGTCGGTAGGTGGGGAGAAAAATACCTGTAGACAAAGCTTAGTATTTGTTCTCCATTATGCTGAAAAGGAGAATTTTGCTGTATTAGATGACTGGGGGTATGTAAGCACTTCTTTGAATATTGGCAAAACTCCACTCATGTGTGTTCAGAAAAGAGCCTGTTCCCATTTGCACTGAATCAATGGGATTTAGAAGGTTATTCTGGTCATAATTCACATATTGAGGTGTTTTGCAGAACTGGAGTCTCTGAAAGGTGCTGAAGAGCTGTGTATCCTTTGCTCAACCTACGAGATATACATATGCTCCATATCTCCTAGGGCCAGAAATGTAAGTGATCTGAACTAGCAGTCAACAAAAACAACAATCCTTCAGTCCTAGTCATAGCCAGCTCTGGATTTCTGTGTCAACATATTTTTCTCATTGCACCTACCATTTCGTCTCAGGATTTGAGAACACACTTGAAAACCAGTGCCCATGGAAGCAGCAGCTGGGGAACAGGGAGCTCCCTACACCCCAGCTGCACATACTGCTTCCTGGTGCAGGGCCCAAGCAGCTGGGAGTTCCGGGGTCTTCAGCTACATGTGCAGCTTCAAAAAAACAGCTTTGCCCTGCAACTCATGGGACAGCAACAGGACAAGACTCCTACCCATGCCAGAGCTTGCAGTAAGGGGCTCCTTCGGTGCTGGCAGTTGGCAATGGCATGAATGGAGTTTGAGGAACTTTGAGGGTGGGGCATAAAATTCTTCAAACCCCAATTATACCACCATCTTAACATCTGTCAGCAGCCAAAGTTTCATCTAGGTTCAAAACAATTTTTCTTTTCTTGTTTTTAATTTATTTAGTATAAATAAAGAGGGATGGAGGAAAAAAAGTCAAAATAAAAAAATGAAACATTCTGAAATTACTGAAATAAAGCACGTTGAGACTGACCTGATCTGATTCCCCTCCCCCAGGCTATCAGGTTCACAAACATTTTTTCAAGTTTTTAAGGGTTTTCAAATTTTTAATCACATTTCAGGACAGGACAATTTTAACTAACTTGTGTGGGATGGGAAAATCTATTTTCTGCCCATCTCTGGGTAACTGTCATGATCTGCCTTACACCAAAGGTGAGAACAGATAATTTAATACTTTCTGGCCTAAAAATCTTTCACTCTGTATGGATTTTGCTGCATAACACAACTGTGCTGCATAACTTCTGTAAAAGCAAGACTGCTCAGCAGATAAATTTATACCCTTTTGGGAGGAACAATGTTCTCAAATGGTGCAGAACCAGAACTATTTGAGCATAAATAAGATGGATGTACCTTTACAAATGCCTTGCACAGCAAGGCAATCTGTGGTTCTGCTCATTAGACCCATGTATAACACATCACAAAAAAAAGGCTTTGCTTATTGTGCTTCCAGCTGGAACAAGGTGAAACCATTGGCAGCCTCTGAAACTTGTTCTTGTGCAGCTTCCTCCAGTTGCCAGGTGAAATATGTAAATGTAAAAGGGAATGGGATAGCTGAACAAATCTCACAGGCTCAAATGCATTACAGGCTCTTGGCAGATTTTTTTGAGTCCAGAGGAACAGGAACACAGCAGTGCAAGCAACTTGCTTCTTCCACTCTGCCAGCAGATCCAGAGCCAGCAGGTTCAGTTGCAAGGTAGGTGGGCTAGTCAGGGTGGGGCTCCCAAAGTAGGAAGGTGGGGAGAAGCGGAAGATGCATTGCTTGGTGCCTCTTCTGAATGGTCCCAAGTGGCATTTTAAAAAGTTGCCCATCTCAATTGCACAGCTGGCCCTAGGACTGCAGAACACAGTTGTGGAAGGCAATTCTGACCATGCCTTTTTTGTGCAGAGGCTTATCTGATTCAAACTGAAAGGTGGATCTCGTGGCTAGGGACAGACACTCACAGAGCCTGAGCCTGAATTGAATCAATCTTTGCAGGTTAGTCTAACCTGACTAGACTGAACTGGTTTGAAACTGGACAGACATTCTCTCTGAACTGAGGAAATTTAGGTACATGCCTGCAGTGGCTCAGGCTAGAAGCCAGGAGGCCCTAGGGAAGCCCTCCCTTCCCTTCTGCAGAGAGCTGAGCTGAGGGGGGTGTGGCCAGGCACCAGCAGGGCTCTCTTATGAGGGATGTCTGCCTGCACAGTCCCAGGCTTTTCCACACTGGCTGCTTCAGGGGTGGGAGTGTTACCAGCCCACAGCCAGCACTCTGAGGCAAGGGTGGGGGAATGTAGTGCATGCATCTGTTGATGATACAGAGCTTTTCAATCTCCCTCCTTGCTTTGTCATATTGTCTGCAGCAAACTGACAGGCAAGCCAGCCAGTGGGGGCGGGGGAGGGGCAGCTAATAAACAGTCTTTATCACCAAGGCTGCAA